TCTTAAGTTTTCTTCATTATTCTCTTGTTCTAATACCACACCCAATATGTTATTACATACATCAGTATATATTTGGTATAGTTTTTTTTTTTCTTTTGCTGCTTGCCAATCAGGTGCTTTTGGTACAATGTCTTTTGCCAATTTGTGTTTGAGTAATTCAAATGCATCTTTTTGTTTTAAGCTCCATATGAATTTTGCATCTTTTTTTGTCAGATCAGTTAATAGTTTTGCAATTTTGCTGAAATTTTCAGTAAACCATTTGTAATAATTTAATGTTCCATAAAATAACCTAACCTCATTAATGTTTGTTGGTGCTTTCCACATTACGATTTTATTAATTTTTTCAGGCTTTACTTTTATTTCAGCCTTACTTACTATATATCTATACATTTTGAGTTCTCTATATAGTATAAACCATTTTTGGCAGCAAAGATTAAGCTAGCCTTTTTGAATATATTTGCTAGTTCTATAAATGTTTTCAAATGTTTTTTTCATTGACCCATCTGTCCAAATTCTTATATCATCTTGATATATAACAGCTACATTTTTCCATTTTTCTCTATCTAATAAATAATCTATTAGTCTTTGGAATGTTTTACTTGCATTCTTTAAACCCATACACATCACAGTATATCATAGAACTTCTAGTGATATGGCTACTACTACTTTTCATGATCACTTTCCTTGATACCTATTTGTTAGTATCCTTTAAATGCGTCAACAGATGAGTACCAATTATGGCTAGCAGCTTGCTCAAGTATGTCCCGAATAATTAGTAATGAGTAACTATCTTTTATTATAAATTTGTTGAGAGGTTTCATGTTATTAACAGCTCAAAGCTTATTAGTCTCTCCCTCCTTTTTCTGTACTAAAAAACAGTGATAGGCATATTTGCTAGATTTTTTTTTTAGTAGTTCATATTTTATTATATCTTTTAAAGTTTTTTAAACATTTTTCTTACTTCTAAATTATTGATCCTTATAGGTCATAATCTTATTGATGGTATAACTGCATTATTTGTTCTGACTTTATATTCAACTAAATTAGTTTTTCTAATGTCTTTCAATTCGAATATGAAAACTTCAGGAACTTTAGTCATCAATAACTTAATTACTATCCTTTTAATTGGTTCAATCTGAATATCCAAACCCAAGTTTATTAAAGAACAATTTTCATTAGTCAATTGTAATACCACCAATATATAATCCTCTTTGATTAACCTATCAACACCTTCATTTTTAGCATTTCAATAATTTATTTTTTCATAAAAGAATAAACTATTTAAATCACTATAGTAAACCAACTTGGTTTTTTCTATTATCACATTGTTTTTATTTTTGGTATAAAGTAAAACAGTTCACATGATTCTACCAACTTCAAGTTCTTCAATTTTGATTCTTCTTATTGCCATGATGTTTTCTATTTTCTCATAATCACTGTCATCGTCACTATCAGCATCAGTTACATATTCATGTACTTCAGCAATCCAATTTTTGATACAGTTGATACCACAAAAAATGCAGATTTTGTTAAAGAAAAAATTGTATACCAATATTTATTGCCTTTTCAACCAAAATTGTATTGACTTCTAGCAATCCAAGGCATGCCCAATAAAATATTAAAACTGGCAGTTTCTATAATATAGAATCCTTGATTTATAACTACACTCTTTATTTTGATTTTTATATTGCATATATAGCCAACAAATTAATTAACCCAATTGTTAGCCATTCTTTCTTTTCCCCTATATTATTTCAGAATAATCTCTTTTTTACGGTATAGCTTTTTAGCATTAGATTTATTCAGACCCCAGATCGATTAGAGCTTTTACAATATTATCATTTACTTTAGTTGTCTATACAGGTACTACTTTATCTAGATTTGATTTAACTGATTGCATGATGCTACATACAACTTTTATTTTCATATTAACACTATTAATTTCATGATTTTTTTGCGACATGACAGGGCTTTTATAACTTCAACATGTGTCTAGGGATAGATCAGTCTTCGTAAAGACTGGGATCAGATAGTAAAGATTGAGAACTGAATAATTTTTAGTCTTCAGTCCGGAATTGTTCAGTCCTTGGCCTGATTATGGTCTAACAATGACTAATACTACTAATAAAAGTGTTGATAAATTAATTTTAAAAACAACATGACTAATACTACTAATAAAAGTGTTGATAAATTAATATAAAGAAAACAATGCAAATAATAATAATAATAATAATAAAACTTATAACTCTTCCTTACCATGAATGATTTCTTGCATCTATCTTCTAATATTTCTCAGTGTGATGAAATAAGCGACTAAGTTCCAATTTCTAATGAAATAAATGTTGATGATTCGAATCTTAATAAAATTGCCAACCAAAAAATGAAAAAATACTATAAATCAACGGTTTGGCCATATTTTAATCTTGATAATTCGGACAGTCCTATATATAAGAAATGTAATACTGAGTTTGCATCTGATACTACAACATCAACTTTAAAAAGGCATTTGAGTTTATATGGAATAATTGCACCTACACAAGGGCAAATAATTAAGAATAAGTAAGAACAAAATTAATCATTAATCAAACGTTTTTTTTTAAAAAAAAGTCTAATATACAAATTTTGTAAATAGATCTAATGATGATTTTCATAATGAGTATGAGCAAAAAGAGCAAGATAAAGCTATTTTTCGCTGGATAATTCGTGATTTAGAACCATTTAATACTGTTAAAAGTGATGAGTAGCGACAAATGATTTCTAAACTTGATCCAAAGTATAGGTTTTGTAATTGTTATACTATAAGCAATCGTGTTACAATACTTTATCAGGAAAAAAAGAGGAAATAAAATTAGTAATTAGTAAAATTCCTGGAAAGGTTGCTTTTACAGCTGATATGTAGATAGTGTTAAATGGGACTTCTTTTCTTAGCCTAACTTTCCATTATGTCGATACTTCTTGGAGATTATGTAATTTCCTTCTTGATATAATCCCAATAACTATGTATTATACTGGTTCTAATATGGCAGGTGCTATTATGTCAATCCTTTATGAATTTGATTTAGCTACAAAAGCTCTTGTATTAACAACCAATAATGCAGTATCAATAATTTCATGTAGTGCATTGATAACAGCTGAATTAGAAGAAAAATTTAATAATTTAAATTTTGCACATTATTGGTGCTTCGCACATGTGTTAAATTTAGCAGTTATCAAAGGGATTGAATTAATTGATGCATTAATTGAAAAATAAGATCACCTATGAACTATTTTAAGTCTTCTTAACTTGCAAATAAGGCTTTAAAATGTTTATGTAAAGCAAAAAATGTAAAGTATTTGAAACCTGAATTGGATGTAAAGACACAATGGAATTCTGTCTTCTATATGTTAGAAAAATAAAAAAAGCTAGAGTCTGTTTTAAAGCTGCTTTCTATTGATAATCCAGCTGTTGATTAACGATATTCTACTAAAGAAGATTGTGTCAAAATTAATGATACAATGCTTCTTCTAGAACTATTTAAATGGGCTACTCGCTACCTTTCAGCATCACGATATCCAATACATGGGGCTGTTCGTTTTGTTTTTCTTGGAATTCAAGAACATTTATTACAATATATAAATATGGAAGAATTTACACAATCTATAATAGCAAGCACGATCTATCAAAAACTGGATAAATATTGGCCAATTATGGATGAAGCATCACAAATATCAGCTTTACTTGACCCAAGTATTAAATTAACTGCATTTAATAGTGAAATCAAAAAAAATCAAGTAAAACAAATAATTTTAAATCTTCCAGGATATACCAATACATTTAAGTCATTATATTTATTAGTAAATACTGCAGCTGATGATCTAATTAATGCACAAAATTATTTTTGATCATTATGAAGTAATAGTGCAACTTTTCCAACTTTATTGAATTTACCTGTTACATCTGCTTCTACTTATACTTCTTTGATTTCCTCTGTTTCTTTATTATCTTCCACATATATTACCACTTCTCTTTCTTCTATTTCACCTATTTCTTCTGTTCTATCTACTTCATTTATTTCTCCTACCTTTACTACTTCTATTCCTTCTATTCACTCTAATTCTATTCCTACTTTTCTTATCTTTGTCCCTCCTATTTCTTCAACATTTAATACCTTTGCCCCCACTTATTCTGCAAATGAACAATCAGGTAATCTACAAACAGAACTAGAAAAATATCTGCTATTACCATTAGAAGATAATTCAAACCTGTTGGTATAGTGGCAAGCACAGAAAGAATACCTGATTTTAAGTTTAATCGCAAGAGATTATTTGACTATACAAGCTACTAGTGTAGCCTCAGAACAAGCATTCTCTATAGCAGGTCTCACTATTTTAGCAACAAGGGCTAGATTAGAAGACGAATTTGCAAGAGCAATTCTATGTTTAAAGAGTTGGCTTCAGAAAGGAATTTGCAAAATAGATAGTTAAATATCCCTATGCTCAATTTTTATGTTAAATTAGCTTCATATATAAAATACATATTCATATTTACGTTAATATATTTTTTATAATATAAATTTAACGTGCACTATATTTTTTATAATATAAATTTTATTTGCACTGTATTTTCATAATATAAATTTAATATGCTGTATTTTTTATAATAAGATTTTTAAAAATTTAGCCGCTAATAAATAAAAACTTTAATGTTGCTATATTTTTTATAATAAAATTTAATATGCACATATTTTTTTATAATATAAATTTAATTTGCACTGTATTTTTATAATATAAATTTAATTTGCTGTATTTTTATAATAAGATTTTAAAAATTTAGCCGCTAATAAATAAAAATTTATATATTATGCGTTGAAAAATTTTAAGTCATGAGACCGATTATAGAACCGAAAAGACAGACTAACCGGACTAAAAAACATTATAAAATCAGTCTAATAGGGACTGAGACAAACCAAAATGAAATGATCCATCCCTACATATACCTTTGATGACTATTTAAATAATTGTCACAAATTTATAGTTATTTCTATATTTGCTATTTTCTTGAATATATTGAGTTCATTAGATAACTTTGTAAAGAGTATGTATATTATATTTTTAGCATATTTAGGCACTTCATCTGCCTCAATTGATTCACTAACTCTTCCTTTTTTATTTGATTGTTTGGGAAGTTCAGCTATAATATTTCTCTTTTTACATTTTCCAATAGGCCTCATGTAATAATATTTACTACAGTATACCCTGTCAAAACTGATTCTGTCAAAACCAATAACCTTTCATAACTGACAAAAAGTTGATTCACCATATCAGTCTATAATTCAAATCTGATAACCTGCCATTTCTGATAACTGATACTCAAACCATTAGATATCTATAAGATATCAGATTTGTAAGGTAAAATTAATTAATTTAATTAGCTCAAATCTGCTTTTGTGTAACTGAATATATATATAAATATAATTTTTCTAATTATATTTAGCTATGATCATGTGACTATTAGGCTATTTGTATCTTAAATCTGATAACTTCTCAAAGCTGATATAAAAGCTGTCTACCATATACATCGGTTTTGACAGAATATACTGTATTATCCAACAATTCAACTTTTAAGTATTTATTCATTGATTCAAAATTTATTTCAGTAAATTTCACCATTTGTATATTCACATTATCAAGCTTTACAGTTTTATTAAACTGCTCAGGGCCTTTACTACAATTTAAACAATCTTTTATGATATATTCTTCCTCTTGACAGAAATAACATGTTCAAGGTTTGCTGGTGCGAGGTTAATTTGGCTAATTTGGCCTTTTGTTCATGCTCTTGATGGTTTTTATCACAATGTTCTGGATAAGATTTTCAATCTGATCTTTTTTTAATTAAGTTTCTAATTTTATACAGTTGATTTTTAAGGTAGCTAATTCACTCACAAGACTATCAATATCAATGTCTGATTTATTTGTACAAAATGCTTCTTCAGATGCTATATGATCTTCACTATTACTGTAGTCTTTTTCTCTCTTGTACTTATCTATTGCTAATACTTTTTTCTTAGCTTTTGCATAGTCTTTTGGGTAATAGTTTTCAACTTTCGTACGGTATGGTTTCTTCAAATCTTGGATATACTATTCTCATTTCTCATCAGTTCTTAACTTGTCTTTTACGACTTCAGCTTGTACTTCGTACCTATTAGTATATTCTCAGACTAATTCTTTTTTACCTTGTTTTAAGCATTTTAATTGTATGATTTTGATTTCAGGTTCATTATCCATCCTGATCTTGTCAGTAATTTTTTGCTTTAGATTATTCCAAACCTTTTTGGTTTGTACTAATTTTTATAACCAAAATCTTGAACTCTCAGGCATGTGTATATACACTCTGAAATACATTGTATCTTCATTGTATTTTTTTGATTTCGCATATTCTTTTGTAATCAAAAAGAAAGTTTTTGATATCGTCAACTTCAGTGCCCTTATACACTGGTATTGTTGAGTATAAACTTTCCATTATACTTTTGTTTATTTTCTGTATTAATGTTCTTTACTAACTTATACCAATACTTACTATCATTTCATGTTACAATTATTATGATCTTAATTTATTAATAACTTTGCTTTGTTAATATATACTTGCTTTATACATTACAATATCCATTGTTACACTTGTAAGTCTTTATAATACTGATTACAGTTCCACAACTTGTGTTGTTCGTGAAAGATGATGAAATTTTATTCGTTACTTTTACCAGGCTTTACTGGTTATATTTCTTTTGCTCAGTACAAAACCGTATTATATTAATATTAATGTCATATATAGAAAAGCGAATAACTTTTACAAAATATTACATGAATACATAATAGTTAATCAGATAGATTTTCTATAAATATCTAATTTGATGTGACATTACATCTTCAATTTTCTATTTTAATGCTAATTTAAGTTAACGAAACTACTATTAGCTAAAGAAAGGCTAGAAAAAACCTTGTTTAATATAAAATAGTAAGGTATATATATATTTAGATTGAAATAGTTTTAATAGAGCTAAAGGAATATTGTGAGAAAGTAATAATAATAATAAGAGTTGAAGTTAAAGAAAAAAAAAATAACAAATAAAAAATAAAAATAAAAATAAAAATAGTAAGAGAAGAAAGAGAAAAAATTGAATTTATAACCCTGCAGTGCTATATATTTAAGCTATGATATAAAAAGTTATAAGAAAAAGCTATATAAATAATAATTAAAGTAAGAGAAGAAAAAAATATATATATATCTATATTGTAGTAGATAATGCTACCTCAGTGCACCAGGTCTAACATACTACTAGAAGGTTTAAACATATAGCCCTGCAGTGCAATACGCCCTAACTACTGTACTACAACTGTCAGGATAATAAAAATCATTTTTGTATGTTTTTTGAACATTTGTTTTGAATAAGATCTACCAATCAGATTGCTTAATTTAACCATGTGTTATTTGTCAGAAAATTTTGTGTTGTACAATATATATATTTAAGGTTTTGTATTTAGAGTTGGTTTATACTTCAAGTAAAAATGAGTTGACAAAGTTATTTTAGAGCATACTTAAAAAGAAGTTTTAAAAGAAGTTTGTCTCCAAGAGGAATAGAAAATTTGCCATCAAGAGAAAATGAAGATTTGTTTCAAAATAAAGTGGTAGCTTTAACTCAAGAAGAAGAGATACTTTTGTCGCAAATTGAGGTTGAAAAAAATGTTAGTAAGATTTCAGAAGAGCGGGCTAAGGAGATTTATCTCTATAATTTTTTGTCAGTTGGGTTTTCAAGAATGGAAAGGTATATATTTTGTATTATTAATATAGATAGGTTGGCAAAAAAGATTATATTTTGAAAGGGTTAAGTAAGATATTAATTATGTAGTTTGCAAATTGAAGAGAATTCTTTGAGAAAAAGGTTGGAGGAAATAGAAAAACGAATATGAAATCAGATGTCAAAACAAGGTTCAGAAGGTAGTCGTGTTTTAAATTATTTTCTTGATTTGAAGAGAAAATATATATAGAGGTTAGAAAAGTTGCATTATGCAAAAGGTTTTGGTAAAGTTGGCGATAGTATGGATATTGTAGATAGTAGTTGAGGTGAAGAGTTTGTGTAGTAAGGAGAAGTTTTAAAATTTAGTTTAGTTTTGAATGTATCATGTCTTAATAAAGATTGAATAAAAAATAAGTTGTTAAATGGGTATATGATAGTAATAAAATTAAGTAATATATATAAGATTTGTAAAATTTTATA